CTAAATTAAACGAAATTTTTAAAATTTAACATTTTTCATAAAATGAGAAATTATGCTTGAAATTAGTTGCTTTATATTAGCACACTGAAGCATTGCGTAAATGTACACTATGAAGTAATATGTATGACAGTCATAGTAGTCGTTATACAGAATAATGGGCGCAAGACGTTATAGACTTGTGAAATATTCAAGAAATCCGCGAAAAAAATCGCGCGGTTGAACTATTTGGAATTCTTGTTTCAGAGTATGAATATATGCTCTTTATTGTTTCTCTTGATACTTGCAAGTTGCAACTTCAGTAAAAGGTTTGTCTTATGTATCGCATTACATTTTACGAATTTAAATTTTTAATGTATTTATCATCCTTATTTCGTGACAGGGTAATCGATGCTAAATCTTTTAAACGTGATCACAATATCGGCACCGTTTTATTTGAGAGAAATGATTATGGAAAACAATGCTGGACCAATGAGGAATTTGCCATTCTTAATAGTCGGAGGATGTTTCAAGACATTTTGCCTCAGGTAAATCCAGTTAAAAATCCTTTTATTAATATAAACTATTATTTAAAAAATTACGAAGTAAAATATTTTATCATAAACCCAAAAATTTTAAGATAATAATTAAGAGATAGTTAAAGGAATGAGTATCCTGTTAAAAGAATTCTATAGAGACTGAATTTTTTTTCTTTTGCCAGGTGAAAGTTATTGATTCTCAAAACGATCAGTACATAGCGCATCTCATGGACTATTTTCACATATGTCTCGAAAGTGTGCAGAGACTGTCCGTTGGCAAAACGAAGCATCTGATGTTGAAAGCTCTGGCAGATACTCTCGGCGGTTACTTGCGGGTTTACATTCTGCCTATCACAAGACGCTCGTATTACGCAGGGAATATCAAGTATCGTAACGCGAAGATGCTATTTGAGCTCTTCGATGAGCTGAAGATCTTCCTTCGAACGAATGGGGCCGGCTGGTCGAAACCTAGTCAGGACGTTCAAAACGTCAGGATTCCTCCCATCGTAATTACACCACCGAAAACATCGATTGCCTGTAACGGGCTTATTATATATTCGGCGCGTAAGTACGATTGTTAATCCATCACGGTTCAAAGAAAATTATAAAAATAAATGTAAATTGAATATATCATTTTAAATTTGATTGTATAAGCAATAAAGAAGTTAATAATTTCTGTCATTCGTAGCTCTGTACATGTTTCTGTACAAAAGAGAAATACAGCTTACAAGTTTTGATTGTTTAGAAAAATATCTATATGATTTTTGTAAACTGCTATGTATCGAGTTTATTTTGATTTGGAATCGTAAAGAATCAACGCGTATTTTCGATATTCATGATTATTAAAGGATTCTAATAATTGTTGTTTTTTCTCTTAAATGAATAGCTTTTGACAGCGATTATCGAAGCTTCACGTTCAGAAAAAAGAAACGGTCTATGGTAAAGCGAGGACATTCAAGACGTGCACTCGATGGTGAGAAAAGGAATAAATTTAATGTTAAACGACGCTAGTATTAGTATAATATCTTAGTACTCTCTATAGTTGACATAAGAATAAAAATTAAAAGTGTTTTTGCCATCTAACCATTTCTTGAAGATTACAAAAATATAAGATTTTTTTTTATTTTGGCAAGATTATAATAACGAAGTTGTGACGAGCGAAGTCATCATACCACTTCCGTTTCTCGATAACGAAGTTGATCCTAACAGGTAGTTAGTTAAGCAGCAAATTGTAAAAATGCTTCGCCAATTAGAAAACCTTACAGATTCTTATACAAATTTAATAAATCTATCTAGCATTGCGCTGCCCTTCAAAATTGACAGTCTGCAATCTTTGTATTCGGAAAAGTCAGCTTTCGCTCTCGTAAAATATTACATCGCCAGCGTGAAGTGCATTATATCACGATCGAGCACGAGAACACAATTGCATAAATTCGACAAAGACTTCCACGTCTGGTTGCAACAATCCGTATGAATAATTGCTGCGTTCTTTAATGATAGTATAAATTATGAAATGTCTAAAAAATTAAAATATTAGAATTTAAGTAATGATAATCTAAATATTCGAAAAAGATATCCTGCAATTTTCATTCTAGAAGAAAAAAACATCATGCTTAGTTCTTTGATCTTGCATAGAGGATTTTCCATTTTGTAAATACTGACGTGGTTGCTTGAGATTAATTTTAGACAGAGAGCAAATAAAAATACTGTTTGCATTTCAGGTACGTCGACACCTGGACGACGAAAAGTGGTATCCGGCATTCGGGGGTGTTCTCAGAGTAATGGCCACCTTGCGGGAATCGGGTAATATTTCATGACGGTCTCGTTGCATGTAATTCGTATTCGTCGTATTTGAAAATTAATAAGACCGATATACTATTCCGTTTAAGCATTTGCATAGTTAAGAAACTGCAGCTTCCGTAATATTTCTCTGACCATGTTTGCAATTCATATACGACTTGATCATGCATCTCAAAGAAGAGTAAAATATAAACGCGTGCCCATTTTAATATTTTGATACATCTTAGGGATCAAAGTGACCTTGTAAGCTCCTTGTACAATTTTTTTATCATACACGTGTAATTGTAGAAGAAAAAAGCGCTTTATACTTTACTTTATAATTATAAAACCACATAGAGAGAAGATAAACACAAACATTATTTTAAATTACTTTATAATATTTAGATAAAATCAATATTAGAATGTGCCACCTGCTAGAAAAATTGTCTGCTTCCCGTTTCTTAAACATAAAATTTTATGAAATATTCTTCATAATTTGACGTTTTATTTCAGGTATAGGGGACGGAATTACGAGGAGCAAAACAAGTGGGACTTACCAAGTTATGCCCAAAGTAGGTGTGGAACGTGCGAGTCAGACGGATGAGAATGTATTTTACAAAGGAAAGGAACAAAGTAAGTTGCTCGCGATATAACATGCTCGCGATAAAATTTTTTTGTTTTTACATTTGTATCATCTAGTTTAATTTAGTTTTTTAATTGTTTAATTTATTTAATAGTACTTTAGTTTATTCAATAATAATTTCTAATTTCTAGTAAAAAGAATAATTAAGTTTGTACTTATTAAATTTAGGCAACGACAAAATAATGACACTTGGCACTACGGAAATCGTGATTATAGCGGTAGTATCCGCATTGCTAGTATGGTTACTGGTGGGTTTAAGCTTGGTGTGCTACAGATTCCTCACCAAGCAATCCGAGGAATGTTCACCCTGCGAATCGAAAACTACTCCGTAAGTTGAAATGTTTCTTTATGATTGATATATTTTTTTGTTACATTTGAAAAATGATGATTATTAATAATTTATTATGATTTATTTTCAATTTTTTATCTCATTAATCATTTATCTATTTTAATTCTTCTCGATGAGATTTTTGATTCTTTAATTTTTAAATCTTTACGGGAATAATATATATGTATATATTTCATTAAGCACAATTAATTAAATCACAAACACAGCGATAGTAATAAACTAATTATTATAGTTACAAAGAAATCTAATCTATATTTTTTCTCTGTAAAATTAACTTATTATAAATTCTTTTCAAATAAACTTTTGTACTCTTTCGAGATTTATAAAGTTATTGGTATAATATTAGAAACAATATATTAGTTTTATAATATAGAAATGTTAATAATTAAATATTGAGCATTCGCTAAAAAGCACATTTTTTTTGGTAAAAAGTCAACAAATACTTGATAATGATATTTTATCTGTTCTTTTCTCTTTAGATTCGCGGTTTTGTATGAGAATGAGGATTATTGCCAGCCGGATACGTGCTCCTCGAAGTCATTGCGGAAGGGCGTGCTTGAAAAATTGAAAGAATGGTGGAGAAATAGGTTTGGACGATGCCCAGGGGGATGCCAAGAGCATATGGATGAGGAGCGTTGCTTAGCCGCAATCAGTTACAACACCAAAGACAGCATTAATAATAGCGGCAGAATTTATCCGTGAGTGTACACGCGTATATATATATATATCTTTCCTTATTATATTATATTAAAATAATATGTTTCTATTAATAATATTAGATAAGATATAGTTCTGCGATCGTATTGCTAGATTAATCATAACGCGGTAATATATGCTATTACGAATGCGATTTTATTTCAAAATATTCTTGATTAACAGGCGAAAGAAATTCACTAAATCAACTTCCGCTTCGCCATCGGGAACATCTCGAGGTCGTTCAGCTTACAAAGTAAGTGTTTATGATTGCATTTATTTATGTGTATTCGATGTAAATAAATGTATTTTAAGCTATTAGTTACTGCAAAAACTATAAGAAATTAATGGAATTTAACTCTTATAGTGAATAACGATTTATTTTGCAATATGTGATCTTTATTCATAATCATAAATTTTATCTACAGCACAGTGTTTGCTATAGTTCCGAAGGATCGACCACCTACTCCGATAGTCCGGCCAAGCCAAGATAACAGTTGCATTAATTTCAAGTTTTGTATACAGATATAAAATGTGAAGGTATCGCGCTTGCTTTAAGGTATACCATTTTATTTTAGAATATGTCAATCAATAAACAAGCAAACTCTATATGTAATAAATATAATATGTTTCTCTGATATTAGCGTTTATAATGCAGCATCCGCTCGCGGAAAGTAACTGCGAGAATTGTTTTATCTCGCATCTTCGCGCCGGTCATTTGGACAATTAATCTGTAATTTCATTACAGCTGGCCGCATCCGTGCGCTTCTTCGATCGTTCTCCGTTATATGCCCATCGTGTTCGCGCGGCTCTCTTCTCCCTCCGGTCACGCGCACGAACTGCAACTTGTTGCGAGCGAGACGAAGATAAGCGACGTTGACGCGTCGCGAATGCTGAGGGGAGAATGGGAGCGCGGAAACTTCAAACGTCGCGCACGCGTCATCTCGCGCATGCGCAAGCATCTCCCGAGTGAGGGGATGAGATCGCGTGAAGTAAGCGGCGCGCCGGCAGTGTCGCGCGACACTTCGGGTAGTGCGTTCGGGCAGTGAGTTGTTCCGTGTGCGTAAAGACGTGCGTGATAATATAATAGTGACACGCGTGTTCGCGTTTCGCGAGAGACACCGGTTCCTGAATTGGACAAAAGCAAGAATAAAATCTGAATCACTTGTGATCGAACAGTTTCGAATCATTATCGCGGATATTGTTGATCACGGTGATACGCTCGTAGAAGATCCCGAGCTTTGAACCGCGTATCCTCGATAATCGGTAACTCGATTCTCGATAACAGAATTATTAGCGTTAATTATCGGTTAACTCGCGATGTACGACGTACTGTGCGAATTGTCACTCGTGTATCTCGCACGAGAAGTCTCGGAGGACGATGTTTGAACGATTGAGAAAAGACGACTCTGTTTCGCGCCATTTCGTTACGTGATCAGTGCGTACGCCATTAGCGTCGCGATTATATCGCAGTGATATTTCATTATTCGACGTGCGACACGCGAACTGGATACATCTCCGACGATTGTGACGAGGACAGGAACGAGAAGATTCAGATAAAAACGTGAGTTATTTTTCTGATGTAAGAAAAACGCGCGTGTACACGCACGATTGTTGACATTCCTTCGACGACAAGGTATACGCAATTGAAACGTGTTTTTGTGTTTGTACGTTGACTGTATCTTGAATATGTGCGTTACGGCGGGATTCTCGTGTTCCCTCGTATTCGTGCGCGTCTACAATTGACTTTTGTGCATCCTGTGCTTCGTCGTGGGACAACATGGCACGAAGGAGCCACCGCCAATTATGCGCGCTGTTCTTCCTCCTCCTCTTCGCGGACATCTTAAAAGGTAAATCTCCACTTTGAAATCTTAACGTTCAAAGAGAAAATAAAGCATGCCACGTTTGAAGAGCTAACAAAGTATGTCATAAGAAATTTAGAATTGCATAATAATTGTAGGATTTTATAATATTCTAAAAATGTTTCTCAATCAATTTCTCAATTACTTTTTTTTCTGTCATTATTTGTGTTACAAACGTGTGTATTTAACTTACACAATATGTGTTATATACTGTCGTTAGCTTTTCAAGATTTGCAAAATTTTTGAAGAAACAGAAGTTGAAATTCTTGATTTATAAATTACATTACAGGCTTCGTTGAATTTGTAATATGCACTTTATAATCTATAGATCATATCTATCTACAGATAATAATGCCTTGAAATAAAAATTACCTAACTGTATTTTATCAAACCGAATTGTTGAAACAATCTTATTATTACGTAGTAGTGTTCCAAATAATTTTCTTTATTTTAAAAATATATATTTTAATAAATAATAATATTACTTATAATAATTATGAGAGAACAACAATACATAATGTTTCGCAATCTTATCTATTCACTTTATCAGCGGTTTAATCGAAAGAATGCTCAAGGTATACGATAATAAAAAAATTAAACGTTTAATCTCTCCACTCGAAATTTGTGATTGGCCGATTTAAAAGTATACTTTCAACTTCTGTTCTTCTTCATAAACATTCAACAAGTGGTGACAGGTCTATTGGCTCGTGCGAGTTAAGTTCACAAGAGCTTCTCAAATCGCCAAACTCTGCGAAGACTTTTACCGTCATAAAATATCGAACTTTACTACAGCGATTTTTAAAATGTTGCCTACATGATGTTTATATGTTTTTTTAGTGTAGCCCTTTCATGATTCTGTCTGTGCATAGATAGGTGTGATGGAATGTCATAATATATATATCAGTTTTGCAATATATACGATATACGTAATAAATAATATGTAATAAATAATTATTTATTACGTATATTTAAT